AGTGTCGATTAGCTCAGGGGAGTGAGCGCGTCAATAGGCAGGAATCAGGAGAATCGGATGGCGAGTTATCAGGATTCGTGCCCCTCAGATGGGGAGAGAAGCTGTATTTCGAAGCATCCCTAAATACATTGATGCTGGCGCACTCCTTATTCCGTAAGAAAGGGCTAATTGTTTAGCGTTTTTGGTACATTTCTTGTGAATGATGCTTTCTGAATCTGACAAGAGCCGCCACATGACGAAGCAAAGCTTAGTACGGATGGATTAAGGCGGCAGGACTATGAGTCGAGGTCTTCTTCACACATTTCAGCAGTCATAACTGCAAGACAATCCTCTATCGATGTCCAATGAGGTCAATTCACGAATCCCTTTCATCCGCCATTGCGAACGAAATGGGTTGAAGTACGCCAGCATCAGGCCTTTAGCTACAGAGCACATTATGACTTTGAGTTCTGACAAAAAACAACTCGATCAGCCCGATCGAGCAGCACCGCTCTTGGCGTCTCAATGCTTTCCTTACCTTAACAGTAGGGTTCGAGGCGGCCTTTTGGGCCCCTTGGTCTGCGTGAAGTTTTTCGCTCCCTGTATTGCAAATATCGTAGCCGATCGCCGTGAGCTGTACCATCTCTACGTTCTCACGCCACCGGGGCTGAGTCGCACAGTCCGAACTCTGATCTTTCCGCTCATCAAGACTCGCGTCCCAGAAGTGGATGGGCAACATAATCTAGTAATAAAATGACGAAAGTAGCGGAATTTTATCAAATAAAGTAGATTTTCGAGAATATCAATATTTCTTTAATAAGGTTTCTCGCCATTCTAGTTCGCTTAAGGTGATGAAGAGCTAATAGTTGAATTTTCCCACAATAACATGAGTAGGCCTCATGTTTCTAGTGAATTCCAAATAGTTTTGCCTCCCAAAAGGTATTCTCGTCCAGGTCTGGCAAATTATCATTCTTTCATCACCTGGAGCGCTTATTCAAGACTTACTGACAGACTCGAATAACTTTTGTTTCAATAATTAACATATGGTTACCAAAACTCTAATTCAGCATCAGCTACTGAGAAACTATAAATAATAAAAAAATCGCAAAAACTTTTGGCAAAATATACAAGTTTGCCTCAACAACAATCCCACCAAAAATGTGATATGGAAGAGGCCTGACCTTCACTAAAATACACGTCTGAACTGTGACCCTCTGATATCAGTGGCATGGGGCGTAATGGTAATACACCCACTAGACTAACTAGAACTCCTCCTAACAGAATGCATATGTTTAGAATTTAACAAAATTTTGTCTGATAGTTCAATATGGTATGTGATGGGATCAAAATGGTCTCATGGTGCTGTGATGAACCAGATGAGACATGACAACCTATGAAGGGTTGTGCTGGTTGGATCCATTTTCCACAAACTTTCATGAGAAATGTCGGTTCAGGATTGGCGGGGCTGAGTCGCGATGAGTTTGGATTGCTCAAAATGAACGATACATTAGTTAGTTGACATTTATGTGTAGAAACCTAGTCAGTATAGTCGGCTTAAGGTGATTTAAGGACTCATAATTGGGTTTTTCTTACAATTAGATGAGTGGGCCTCAAGATGACAATGAATTTCATTTAACTTAAAAGCATATCTCATCCAGGATGAATTGCAGTTTTGACCTCACCCAGGTCTCATCAGCATCCCTGGCGAGTATTCGAACCCGGGTCCTGAGTATTGTGGTGACTTCACTGCTCCACTACACGGCCACGGGAGCTAGTAAGTCACAGGGCAGATGCGAACTTCAGGCCAAGCTGGTATTTGTCATTTCACTTAACCGAATTTCTTAACTTCTGCATGAGTAACTTTCGAGACTATTAGTCATTCTTGTACAAAAACTCAACCAGCCTAGGTCGCTTAACGTGAGTTAAGGATTGATAGTTGAGTTATTTCTATAATGGGATAAGTAGGCATCAGGATGCCATAGAATTTCGCTTGTCCTTTCCTCCAAAAAGCTATTTTCATTTAGGTTGGAATGGAGCTTTGATCTTGCCTTGAGTCCATCAGCACCCCAGCGGGATTCACTAACTCATCTCACAGTCCTTAAATCACTTTAAGCGCCTTAGACTGACTAATTTCTTAGTTAAGAATGAATAAAAGTGTCATAATCTACTCATATCGAAATCATGAAGCCAATTTGATTGTAAATTTTTTATGAGACTCGGTGAATTCTTGTTGGCCAGATTTCGATTGGCTTGGTACCATTCTTAGAAACATATTCAAGCAATCGAATCAAGAATATTCACCAATTACCTCTAACTGTATATATGCCATAGATCTAAGTTGTTTTGATGAGGTGTAATGTGATGAGATTAACTCAAACTCGAAGCATGTAGGTGTGCCTGTTTGCATGTGCTTATGTGCCTTTATGTGTTCGTTTATGTTAGAAGCCAGCAGGGATAGCTCAAAGTAATTAGAACACTATGTAATGTCTTTTTTTTCAGTGATAAAGGTCTGATAACCACCACCATCGCCCATTTTTTATTATATGTCAACCCCACTCCGTTTGCGCAGTCGGATACATGAGCTTTTTGTCCTCAGGTGAGTGAGAAAGAGTGGACTAAAATGTACATAAAAATGACCGTGGCTAAAACCAAGGCAAGAAAAGAAATGACTAGTTGAGTCTTCTCCTTTTCCAGGAGACTATTAATTAAGTACAAATAGTTTTTACTTAACTTCTTGCCGGTATTCTCTACATTTGATGTATTGTCTAGTCGGTTGATTTCGATGGCCTTTCTAATTTTGCGCTTAGCTGCAGACATAGAAAAATCAGCAAAACGACAAGTTTGAAACCGTTCAATCTCATGTCAAGTTTCGGCCTTGTGCTCAACTAGTTCTGCTTTTGAACCCAACAGCCTCTATAGGCACTTTCGTGCTCCGCCACCCTGCGTCGAATGGGACGGCAAGTTTTTCTACATAAAAGATACCACATGAATACATTATCTTATAGCAACTCGATCTTGGTAATGGACCCACTTTCTCTTTATAAGCGGGCATAACCGAGGAAAGTTCCGTAGTTTCCTTGCAAACTGTCTTTGTTTCCCACTTCCTTGCTAGTTCGTCCATCTTTTAAGAGGGAACATAAAACATGGGAAAAGGTCTCGGTCCTTTCATTTCTCCTTACATATTCCATATTCAAAAAGGTATTCTTTATCGACCTAATGTTATTTTCAATCAGACCTAGGGGTTAATTATCCTCAAGAAATATTAGGGCCTCCATTTCTGACGTGTAATTATTCACTAGCATGACAGTCAAGCAAGATCGTATTTCCAGTTCTTGCACCTGTTCATAAAACTTATCGTTAAATTTAAAGTATGCGCTACTTATGGATCAAGTAAGTAGTCTTAAGAGTTCACTTTTACTCAGTTACTTAATAACATTTGGGTGTTCATCTAGGTTGAGTGTTCGTGCTTGAATATTCTCATGGAATGGGTTGTTAATATAGCTTGATACTATATCGGAGTTCGTCAAAGACGCTTTTCTCTGAAACTCTGTTAATCTACCAATCTAAAAAATTGACATGAATTCTTAACAGAATTTTTCCAATCCTAAGTCACTTTCCTTAATTGTCTATGTTATAATCGTAAAATTCCAAGCATCACACTTCCTTTATTACTAACAACCGATCATAGATGAACTTCTTCCTTGTGCATCTTTAGAAGGCGGTAAGCGTCCCTTTAAAAAAGTGAATACATTTTTCACTTCATAGTTTCTTCCTTGCTTACACACACGTTAAGCGATTCCCCAAGTCTGGCATTAAGGCCATCTGTGGAATTCTTCATTAAAAGTTTTTATATCTCTGAGTCGTTTAAATGTATCATCATTTTTTCTATATAATTTAACTTAGCACCATCTTGATCTGTCTGTAATACAAACAGATCATTCTGCTGCAAATATTTAGAAATCCTATTCATAAGAGTTCATTGAAATAATAACATGGTCAAAAAGAGGAGTCACTTAGCTGTCTATACCACTCTTAAATACTTCCGGCAGCCAGTCTGACAAATTAGTTAATTCAACCAGTAGATGCATAGAATGATTCTCCTCATCTGGAGAGATAAAGTTTAGACCTCTTTCCAAGTCGAGCTCAGCACTATCTATAACCGATAGGTGTACTGGACAAAGTAATAACCTTATTTTTGTTAGTACAAATAGCATTAAGTGTATTTATCTTCTTATTAAATTCGCTATTTATTAAGTTTATTTTACGGACCAAATTCCCTAATTTATTGTCGTGTCGACATGTGTAAATCGTATCTTCCAGAGTTTTCGTAGTCCTGGTTTTGGTTATATTCATGTCATTTAATTTGCCTATACTTTCTTTTAAGTTGGTCTTCAAAATGCTCAGAAATACGGCATTTAGGGATGGGCCGGTGAGCTTTATTGACTCGTTGGCTTGAATATGATTGTAAGAATGATACCCTGTTCTGAGGATGTCGAGTAAAAGTGTTCGGTGAAGAGATTCGAAGATTGATCCCACCAGAAGATGACGGCTGATTTCTCTTGACTAGCTGTCGTCTGGTTTTAGTTGAACGTTCTTGTTGATGATTCCGGTGAGAACGTGTTAAACTTTTGTCCGTCGTACGACGGACATCTTTAGAGCAGGGTATCATCCTTACAACCAAGTCAAGAAAACCTGACTCGTTATCTTGAATATGGTTGTAAATATGATACCAACTGCTCTGATGAGGTCCGTTATACGATGGACGACAGTTCAGCATGTTGTCACTGGAATTGAAAGAGATTATCTCGGAAACAGAGTCAACAAGAATGTTTCAGTAAAACCGAGAGGAATCCTCCATCGTACTCTGGTGGGGCCGACTTATGAATTTCATCACCAAGACCTTTCACTCAAAATGTAAGTGAGCTCAGCAATTAGTAACCACAAAATGTTTCAAAATCCATACACTTTTATTGCTTCCGGTATGGCAAGGATTGGGAGTGAAAAGTAGTCAGGTATGTGTGTTAGTTCGACTCCCAACCGACCTGATAGGTAGCAGGTTGCAGGGGCCGAAACCGCCACTCTAGACGAGCCATGGAGCAGGGCAGAATTATGCCCTCTCGGCACAAACAGGTGAGCACCGGCACTCCGAACTCCCAGTGCACCAGAGGTCGGCCTGTCTCCGAGACTGACGCCTCTTGTGCGGCTTCGGAGAGGGTCTCTTCAAGCGGAGCCGACGGCAACAAGCGGCCCTCACTTCGCCTCCTCACCGCTTCTTTATGCCGCTTCGTTCTGTCGCCGTTGTCGCCGTCGTCGCCGTCGTCTCCGTCGTCTCCGTCGTCGCCATCGTCTTCCGGAAGGCTTGACAGTTCCGGCAGACTAGATTGAGCCGACAGTCTGCTCGGGGAAGCAACGCGAAATCGCACTGGTCTGGCACTCGGATTTACCAGGCGGAGGTCAGCCAGGCAACCGAAGGTCGAATCGCCAGAGCCCAATTTTACCGGAGGCAGAATGAACTTGCGCGAGGGAAAGTGAAGATAGGCCTGATCCAGAGACAGGCTGATGCCGATTAGATTCAACTGGTGCACGACGAATAGCGTAAAATAGGTCAAGGGAATATATGAAATCTGGGCAGAAATAAAGCACTTACCCCAACGGTCCCTCAAATTTGACCCATTCTGTATATGTGCTATTTCGCACCGGAATCACAAGTCTATACACACCCCGTTGATTGGGCCGGTAGCCGTCGCCATTCCAACCGGACGAGGAGCCAGTCTTAACTCTGGCATTGGCCTCGGGACTCGAATCCAGGTCATGCAAGTCAAGCGGCATACTTACTCTCCCAACATACGGCCACTACGACCATTGGGTCACAGACAAGAAGGCAAGCCAAGAATCTACATAATCCCATTTAACGTTGCTCTAATGTCAATATGGAGCAATCAAAGACATTTCACTATTCGAGATTTGAAGATTTCTCAACCATCGGCATATCCTATGAAAAAATACGAGTTTCCTTTGAGGTGATGTGCCAACTTTATTCAGTGATATGAAGGCCGGGAAGTTGAGGCATCCATTTTGGTCGCAGTCTTCTTTCGATGTTTAGAAGTGGCCTGACCTCGTTTTCACACAGTTGTCGTGTTCTCAGGGCGACCTACTTGGACGCACCTTGTCCAAGGTCCTCTGCGATAGTACTTATGATAATGCCCAGTGTTGGACCGTGGACTAAACATCTTCCCAGACGTTTCGCCAGTATAGCCGTCGGCAGAAAGTTAGTCAAGAAACCGACTTTATCTGTAGCTTAATAAGAATGGAAAGACCCACGGAAGATGCTGGTGAAACGTCTGGGAATGTACCACGTTCACGGTCCGACTTTGGAAATGATCATGCATACAATAGACTCCGGACTAGGTGTGGACCTCCACGTTTTCCTAACAATCTGACCAAGTTGCGAAAACAAGGTCAAACAACCACCGAACACGCTGGCTAGAACCAGAGAGGGCAGAAAACGAAGTAGCTTTTGAGGTGGAGGCCAACTTCGAGACGTATAATACAGACATTTCTGCTGGCAACAGTGAATGTGAGTGCTTTTAGGCGCGATCGGAAGACCGGAGCAATTTAAGCCAAGTCATTACGAACAGAATTATCATGAGAGAGAGGTCTAGGCAACGGAGGGTATGTCGATTGGGCATAGCGTCAATGAATGAGAGTAAAACAAAGTTGCTAAATCCTCTATGTTTCCTTCATAAATTAGAACTTGAAGCAAATGTGAGATCTCGAATGGGCATCGGACGTCACGAATGGGATTCCCAGCAAAGGTGATGGGAAGTAATTTACTTAGTGATCAACATGGACGGATTTAGAGTCCGGGTGTGTGCGAATAGGGCAATGTTGAAACGTTGTATAGTCCACACAGCAAATGGACCTCAGATGGCAGTTTTTATAAGATCTATACTTCTGTTAATAACGCGTATGGTCGGCAATGTATACGCCTACGAACGTAAGTAATAATGAAAGGTCTTGAGAAATTC